AATTCATAGCGCGAATTCCAGCCAACGTCCTGAGCCCAAATTTTGCATAGCGCATGCTACCAGCATAAAAGTCCACCACGCGAAAGCACGAGCGGATTTGTTGGGTGGATCCCTCAGAAATTGCGCGTCAGCCGGGTCCAATTGGCTTTTGGCCCGCATAATCGGATCCGTATCGCCATTTTTTGTAAAGTCGTGGATGTGCTTGGCATCTCAAAGTGCCATGGGCTTTGGTACAAAAAAGGGATCAAAAGTCTACTACATCACAAAAACGACGCCGAAAAGTATTGATTGCTCGATGGTCGATTTGCCCAGGTTTTACTTAAGCATTTGAGAAGATTTTTGCACAGGGATGTAGCTCAGGTGTCATTGCCCTTATAGCAACTACCCAGCCAAAAAAAGTTCAAGAACCTATTCAAATTTGCATTTGTTCTTTTGCGAAGAATTTCATCCTCTTAGAATTACCGTTCTCATACGGAAAAGCTTTTGGAATGAGTAGTTGTTTACATTTTATTCGTGATATTCGGTATCGTCCGGTGAGTTGCAATGCTATCATAAGGCATGAATGAGTAAGGTGTAGTAGGACCACAGCGAGCCTCTGCGAATCAGTGTAATTCGTAGCGCAAACTGCAGCCAAGATTTCGAGTTGATTTTTTGGCTATACACCAGCAGCACCCAGGTTAGTTATGTAAAAAAGTCAGCGAATCTGTTTCAGTCAATTTAAGAGCATGAACATTCTGACCAAAATCCATCGGCCAGCTTCAGAGCGTAAAACGAGAAAAAATGAAATTACTCAAACACCTTGGAAAACTTGCTTATAAGGGTTATCCGACCTGCTGATTACGAAAATCACATCTGCTTAGCAAGAGAGCTTCATATTTTAGAGTTACGTTGAGTAAAATTTAGAACGACACGATTTTTCCAGAATTCACCAGCCCTTCTAACTCCTATGGAAAGATGTCTGTGACTAGTTTCTAGCGCTGCGTAATCTACAGAAAAGTACTATCGAAAGATCCTTACTGGAGTCTACTAGGGGCGATGCGCGCTGCTTTACACCTTCACGAAAAGACGTCTACAGAAAGATTTGAGAATATTGAAATCGGAATATCAAGGATATGCTGTATATCGAAAGACTTGCCTTAATGAACTGAACACAAAGCTTTCTTCGGATTCAGAATATGTTCATTTCGAAGGAAGTTACGGCGAGTAGAATTTAGAAACGCGTGATTTTTCCAAAATTCACCAACGCTTCTATCTCTTTTGGGAGACAGTCTGCAGCTACTCTTGAACCCACGATAACCTACAAAGACAGTACTATCGAACAGTGCTTACTGGAATCTTTTATGTTACACAGACGCTGCGTTACATCCTTGCGAAAAGACCTCCACAGAAAAAATTCGAAAAAACTGGAAATGGAATATCGAGAGCACACTGTATATCAAAATATTTGCCTCGACGATCTGAACACAATGCTGCTTCTGGATTCGGAATATATTCGTTCTGAAGGAAGTTATGGCGTTGCGTACTCTGCGTGATTCGCATGATTTCGCTGATCCTGAAATGTCGCGAACTTACCGGATTATCGCGCACTTTGGCGGAAATCCCCGAATTCCGCGAAGTTCACGGAAATTTTGACATTCTGTGCGCGGTATTGTGATCTTGAGCAGATCTTAGAACAAATTCGATCAGAGTGCTCTCTACCATACTCCTATAGTATACTGTCTATGTGTCATCAGCGACAGATCAATGGTAATACTGTTATCAGCACACTGAATTCAACCAAAATAATAATCGATAATTTTGAAAACTAATATTGTATTCGGAATCTCCATGCTCGATTACCCCCCTGTGCCAACTCCCAGCCCCGTAGGTGAACTCAGCAAAAAAATCGATAAAAATCGATAAAATCGATATCGGTCGATGACGAAAAGTAGCCTATGCCACCCGCCGGGGTCCGAAGTGTATGTGTGCCAAGTTTGGTCCGGATCGGTTCAGAAATGGATTTTTCTATTCGGAACATACGTACAGACAAACAGACAAGCAGACGTTCAGCTTCATGTATAAGATGATGCGTCTCGTCGAGCTGAATCGAACGGTGTCCTCGGATTCAGAATTCGTCCATTCTGAAGCGAGATATGGCTAAATTGACGATTATTCCGGCGCACTGCGGCGGAGTGTGGCGCACTCTGCCACACTCTGGCGCACTCTGCCACACTCCGGCGCACTGCGGCAGAGTGTGGCGGAGTGCGCCGCAGTCCGGCGACTTTTTTGACGAATTATGAGCGGTATTGTATGTAAGGGGTTCAATGATTTTTGCGGCTCTAACTCAGGGTGGAGACTTTTCACCCCAAAGTCTCCACCTCGCCCATTTAATGTATTGGCCGGAGACCGCCAGTGGAGACTTTGGGGTGAAAAGTCTCCACCCCGGGCATATACCGTGAGAGGCGCAAAACCCCCACATATTATATATCATCTGAAAGCTCTTGATGAGTGGAATCCAACCTATGAAGTCGCAACATGATTCATGCAATTCTGAAGAAGTTATGCGCTGTTGAATTTCAAAAAGCGGTTTTTCACTTTGTTTTTTCAAGAGCCTGAATCTCGGCGGTATCTTGTTGGATCGTTACGGCTAAGACATGGTCCGATACAGCAATTCTTACTCTACAAAACCTATGAAGCCGCAACATCGCACTCCTTCACATTCCAGATTTATAGGAGTTTAAACGTCAGCTGTCACTAAGTAACCTAAAATCGCTTAATTTTTCAAAATTCTCGTTCTCGGCGGCCACTGCTCAAATCGACGTAATTCTTTCACTTTCTGGTAGAACAACACTTGCCCTTCAAAACCTATGAAGTCGCAATTGCTGACATCTTCAACCAGCAGATTTATAACAATGGAATCATCGCATGATTTTTCATTATTTTATCATTCGAAATTCTGGTTTTCGGCGGTTATTCCCTGGATCGACTTACTACATAGATATATGCTCTCAATACTTTCTTTTACCTTCTTTTGCTTCTTTTCCTTCCTTTAAGCTTCAGCAAAAAAAATTTTTCAAACCCAAAAGTGAAGGTGGTCACCGCGTACCAGCTCAAAAGTGAAGGTAGGCGGAGACTCAGCTCCGACTATCGCACCTCTGGTTGTGGAGGTCTGTCGGAAATACCAACTACCCCTAGTCTTCACCTTTGTCAATTACGAAAAGGACTTTGATAGTGTGGAAATCAAGGCGTTTTAAGGGCTTTGATCGACTTAGGAGTAGACCCCACCTACATAAGAACAATTGCGGACTGCAATACAGGGTGCACCACAGCTATTAGCTGTTCGACCATGCGCTCCACATCTATATATGAAAATAAGTCCGTTAAGGCGCCACCTATCGCCAAAGCTGTTCACTGCCGCACTGCAATGGTGCATGCAGTCACTCGACTGGGATGAGAAGGGGATACGAGTGGATGGGCGATACCTTTCGAAACTCCGCAATAATTTCGCAGATGATATGGTTCTATTTTCGAAATCCATTAGCGAAGCTGAAAAGATGTTGAATGAGTTAAATGAAAGCGGAAGAAGGATAGGGCTCAGAATTAATCAGACGAAGACGCAGTTCATGAGGAGCAACTAGTGCAGCGAAGGCCAATTACACCTAGTTGGATCACCGGTAGAGGAGACCACATCCTACGTTTACCTAGGCGCACCATCAACATGAACAACGATTGAAGGACGAACTTAGAGAAAGGCAGACAGCGGCATGGGCAGCATTCGGACCACTGAGAGAAGCTACAGACCTCTTGCTGATCCAGACTTACGTGCTCACCTTTTTGATGCTACGGTTCTTCCAGCTTTGTGTTACGAGCCCAAACCTGGGCTGACACTTCAGCAACTACGAAGACGTAACAGCACACAGGGCGATCGAGAGAAAGCTTCTGAAGATAACGAAGTTTAAACAGCATTAGACTTGTTATTCGAAGCTCTTAGTCAACTTTTGCGTCAACATGATCCAGCAGAGTACGCATCTAAGAACAAACATAGAGGGGCCGGACATATAATGAGAAGGGAAGACAACAGATGGATCAAAAGAACATTGAAATGGATTCCAAGAATCTTCTAAGTGTCCACGTGATAGACCACCGAAGAGATGATGCGACGTATTTTGTTGACCGCATTAACCAATTGCGTCAGCAGCTGGAGTCTAATTCAGGATCATCCAGCAATCGTGCGATAACGATTGCCCTAAACCGCAAGGGATGGTCAAAAGTTGGGGCCCGCACGACGTGGGGACGGGCCATCTAAGTAAAGGTATTGTAAATAGAAGACATTCAAACTTTAGTTTATAAAGCTTGGCATACGTCTTAGGGTGCCTTCATACCGCGCCGGCAGCCGCCGCTAGCAGCCCGTGGACCCGTACATAGCCGCCGCTGGCAGCCCGTAGCAGCCCATAGCAGCCGCTAGCAGCCCGTAGCCGCCGCTGGCCGCTTTTGTCATAGAAGCGAAAATCATTATATTCTTACCATTTTAAGTCCATTTGCCCACGCTTTCCATTTTCCACGCTCTTTCCTTCTTGTTGTCGGATTCGATCTCATATATCATACTTGTGTCTATTGTTGTTAAAATCTTGTTGCCGTAGATTGGTTATCCTATTGGTGCTGAGTTTCCCTCTCGCAGTTGAACCATATTTGATCAAAGTTTTTTCGCGGTTATTTTCTAAGTGTGGTTCTGCTTCAGTCATACCTTGGCCGGTGCTTATCTTGAATAACTCTGTAATGTATGAGTGTGGAACTGCACATTAGCGGCAGTAGGACGAAAGAAGCGTGGAAGATGGAAAGCGTGGGTGGGCGCACTCAAATTAGTAAGAATTAGGTGATTTTGCGCTTCTGACAAAAGCGGCCAGCGCCTGCTGCGGGCTGCTACGGGGTGCTAGCGGCGGCTGCCGGTGCGGAATGAAGGCACCTCTCCTTCTTTACTCCTATACTTACATACTTTCTTCTTCCTTTCAAACCGTACTTACCCAACACATTCACTTGCTTTCGCAGTGGCATCACAACGATGGAGAACCTCGCGTTCGAAAAGTGAGCGAGACAGCGAGGAGCATGCTGATCCAAGTCTGCAGTACAGATCAAGAACAGAGACCGCAACGTTTCTAAAAGTCGAAGTTTTGGTTAGGTTGATAGTATGTCAAAAGCTCAAATCTTCATAATGTGGTAAGGTCCGATCTCATAATGTGGTAAGGTCCTGCATATTAGTCTTGTTTCTCTTTCCTAATTTTAGGGTAAGAAACAAGATTCACTTTGAGGAATGATCGTCGGTATATCTGTGAGCAAGTACAATAGTCAATTCAGCACAACTAGTCCGTATTATTACTCAAGAACCTCTTTAGCTAAACTCAGTAAAAAGATGTGGGCGCTCAAAAAGGTTGAAGCAACGTTTTTTTTTGCGTGATAGGAATGATGTAAAATATGATCACTGGAAACCTCGATAAAATTATCGGATCAGTTTTAAAGTATTTCTTTGCTAAATACGACATTGATTGTTAAACTTGTTGGGCGCACCGCCACGAAGGCTGTCTGCAAGTAAATTCTGCAGAGTATGCTTTTGATAAGAAGAAATGAGTTATTGAAGTATTGAGACTATTGATAAATTTCAACTCTAAACTTGGTTCAGATTTCATGACTTCGATGCATCACTTATTTTATCAGAAACGTGCTTAGCAATGTTGGGTTGTATAATTAGTATAGCTTGATTTGACTTCAAAGAAATAATAATGATTCTGAAGAAGAGGCAACTGGCTGCCAGAAATCATCACGAAATCATATAAAAAGCTGAAGTATGCATTTTGCACAACCTGCGACTCGCTCTTATCCTACGCATAGTGGAGTAGTAGAGACGAGACACTGTAGCTACAGGATGTGAAGCTTTATTTTAGCTCCATTCCTCTCCCTAACGCGAGTGTTGAATGCGGCCTTCGATTTCATAGGTGAACCACGGATTCCTTGGGCATTGTCCCTTTTTTTAAAGTTCTTCCGATTCTTCCATGTCAGTAGTAAAAATTTGGCGGTACTTCGCGCAATGTTCGAGCAAAACTCGATTTCTAGGAAATTCACCAAACGGGGTTATCCGCAACGATGAATCCGAAAATACAAGTTAGAAAGCGCGAAAACAACGAAAATATACTTTTCTAAAGCCTTTCAAATTGAACTTGGACAAGTGGAACAGTGCCCGCAAGACGCAGAGTCACCTCAGGACCTAGAACTTAACTGCGACGGCATGCGTATTCTGCCACCGAGCAACAAATCCGCAGATGGACAGGCGCAGGGCGTTAAAGGCAGTGTCCGGGCAAAAAGTCGATTTTGAGATTTTGTGCTTACCCGGGCCTATTCGCTATGGTGAACCCGAAAATCCACACGGGAAAGCGGAAAAACGGCGAAAAAGGGCTCTAACACAGGAGGGAAATGAGCAGGTGGGCGAGGTCCTTCCACTGCGAATACACGTTCCCGGCTTTCGGAGCGACCTTCTCGCTTCCGGTTTCAAGTCAATCATTTGCACTTGACCGGTAGCGATGTTAGGACGGCTAGCGGAATCGAGAAAATCGCTCCGAGAGCTGGGAGCGTGAAATCGCATTGTGGAAAGCCCCGCCCACCTGCTGATTTACCTCCTGTGTTAGAGCCCTTTTTCGCCGTTTTCGCGCTCTCCAATGTGGATTTTCGGATTCAGCATGGCGAATAGGCCCATATAAGCACAATATCTCAGAATCGAATTTTTGCCCGGACACTGCCTTTAATTCCCTTTATCCGGTCGTACTCTCCTGCTTAAACAATATTGCCTTGCACTTGCGCGATGCCATGTCCGCAAGGAGACCACTTTCGCATGGCAATGATATCCCAAGATCCCCGACCTTGCCCGGAAACTGCCTTTGTTTTATAGATAAACTAGCTGGCTTACCTGGCTCCGCCCGGCCTCGTCAAAATAATAAAGCTCTCATCCCTACCCCTGACAAACTTTCTATCAACTAACTATCGGTTGTCCTCGACTGAGGCAACCGATAGTTAGTTGGTCCTCTACAGAGGCATTCAATGGTTGTCCTTTACTGAGGCATCCGATGGTTGTCCTCGTTTGAGGCATTTGCTGGTTTGATTGAGGCATACGGTGGTTGTCCTCGACAGAAGCAGCCGATAGTTAGGTGGTCCTCAACAGAGGCATCCAATGGTTGTCCTAGACTGAGGCATTCGATGGCTTGATCGAGGCATCCGATGGTTGTCCTCGACTGAGGCGTCAAATGGTTGTCCTCGACTGAGGCATCAAATGGTTGCCCTCGACTGAGGCATTCGATGGCTCGATTGAGGCATCTAATGGTTTTCCTCGACTGAGGCATCAAATGGTTGTCCTCGACTGAGGCATACGATGGTTGTCCTCGACAGAGGCAATCGATGGCTCGATTGAGGCATCTGATGTTTGTCTTCGACTGAGGCATCAAATGGTTGTCCTCGACTGGGGCATACGATGGTTGTCCTCAACAGAGGCAATCGATGGCTCGATTGAGGCATCTGATGGTTGTCTTCGACTGAGGCAACCGATGCCGATGGTTGTCCCACCGTTTCGTTCCTACCCTTAGACGGTTTGGCTGAATAGGTCCTAAGCTTTCTCCGGAATTTATAGTAAGGAAGAAAGCTCGACTGGATCCATCCAGTTCCTTGTTTGTCCCACCCACCTGCCCTGACCGCCGCTGGCCGCCATTTTTTTGGTTTCGTTTTGCCATTTTTTTGGATTTTGTATTTTTCAATTTTTTTGGATTTTTCAATAGGACAAGCAACAAATAAATACTGTACTATACTATAACATGCAATTATGTTAGCGCCCTGGGATACACTACGTTAGCTGTGCTCCCTTCGGGCGCATATATGTACAGGTTCGCCGGACTCCCGACCCTCGAACACGCCACGTACAACTGACCTTGCGAAAAACAGGGAGTTTCCAGGTCTACTCCTACTGTTCGCAGAGACTGTCCTTGCGCTTTGTTGATCGTCATAGCAAGTGCAGGCCTGACCGGAAACTGCACTCGCCTGAAGTAAGTGGACTCGTGGTATATGAACGACTTCGCCTTTGAACTTCCCCGCCAATATGGTCGCTACTATGACGTTTGGCATGAGATCCCTGATGCAGAGCCTTGTACCATTGCACTTTTTCGGTGGATTGATGTTACGAAGAAGCATGATTGGCAAACCAACCTTCAGATCAAGTCTGTGAGGTGGTATCCCATTGGGCTCGAGTGAATTCAAAAACTCAGTGGGGAAGTAAACAGCCTGTTCACGCTGAAACATGTTATCAACGGATGTGTACAGTGACACCGGTCTAGGTAGGCTGTTTAGAATCTGAGCATTGATAGAAATCACTTGCTCATTTTTGGGTGCCAGAATTGCTCGCTCGCAAATCGACTCCCCATTGCTGAAGTTGATGGCAATGATTGGGAAGACCTTTTCGATCAGTTCTCCCACCGATTGAACCATATTGCAGAAGTTTGGAGGAAAGGTAATCCAGACAGAACTTGGTTCAACCGGAATTCTGCCCTCGCCAAGAAGAAACAGCTGTTGCGCAAAGCTTCGGGCAGTCTCATCGCCAAGGAGGTGGACTTGCATGTTCGTCGTGAGATTGAGCGATCGAACATGTCTCCAAAGATGAGAAGTTTTGAGGCAAGCGTCCAGCTCATCTGGTGGAGTGGATCGCGGAATCACTGGCAGAGTTTGACGAAAGTTGCCCGCCACTAGCACGACGGCCTTACCCATTATCCTGATGCTTCCTCGTATGTCCCGTAGTGTGTTGTTAAGGGCTTCTAGGTACTTCTTATGCGCCATGGTGCCTTTGTCCCAAACTATGAGTTTGGTTTCTTGTAGCACCTTGGCTTCTCCTGTGCCTTTGCTTATCCCACACACTGAGTGCTCTACATGAGCAATATCCAGAGGAAGCTTGAAAGCTGAATGAGCAGTTCGGCCTCCTTTTAGCAGTGTTGAGGCAATCCCCGAGGATGGCACCGCTAGCGCAATTCCTCCTTGTCTGCGAATCTCGGCAAGCAAGAAATTGATGAGAAACGTTTTCCCTCGGAGCGTCGAGAAAGAGTAGCCCACCATTGCCACAGGAAATCGTGTCCAAAACAGCACGGTAAACCAACTCTTGATCCTCCATAAGAAAAGGTCTGTTGGATTCTACAAATGTGGTCAACTGATAGCATTATAGGACTTCTCTCGGAGAACATCGCTTTCGAGTGCCTGGCCATCTCCGCGTATTGGTGACGGCAAACCGAGGTCTCTGGGGTCATCGACAGGCTCGTATCCTCAAGCAGTATCAACGCTCGGTTGGACAGCTCGGGAGAGTAGTCGATGTTTGCAGAGGGTGCTGCTCTGCGACATTCTCTGAGTACTCAGAGCCTCTTTGTACTTCTCTCAAAGTGCTTGAAGATTTGACGGTGGACAGGGTGTCAAGATGATGCCGAAGAGACTTCGCAGTTGAGCATCGAAACTTGTCGTAGCTGCTTCTGCGAGAGTTCTGTCCCATTGCTGATCATCTTCAAGCAAGCCAAGTCTTTGGCATGCTTCTCTGTAGGTCTCACAACCCTCTCCATCGATGGTCTTCAATGCCGCGAATGACGTCGGTCCTTGGATTGTGTGAAGCAACAATCTGAGGTAGAAGCATTCGGCTTGGTTAGGGTGTACAGTATATACACGCGCTAACACATCCGCTGCTCTAACGTCATATCCGGAAACTTCGGCACCTCGCCTCCTTCTGGCCCACTTCTTTGTTGACTTGTTCCAAGTAGTTGGCACAGAAGGAAGAATGCCGTCAAAGTTGTTTGAGGTGGTTGCGCAGCTCTTTGCAGTGCATTATCAGCCGTGAAGTATACGCGTTGTCCATTCTCTAGATGGACATTTAGATGGGTGACAGGTGGGTAATGTTCGTGTATCCTGAAACCCAGGATAAGCCAAACTGCCTTGCTTATGCACCTGCCCGTTTGATATAGTTCGATCTCATCAAACGGTACAGTGGCATGCTGAGGCCGAACGTTGCCATGTCACTTCCCTTGTTCACATATTTGCAGATGTATCTAACCGACTTCACCGCAGCACTCCACATTGATATGTTTTCGAAACATTT